AACCAGAACACGTTGGCAAGCATTTATAAGTTCCTGAGACTGCACAGTGGTCCAATTTCCAGGGTGGCGATTTGATTTGCCACATTAAGACACACGCTGCTAACAAAGTCTGTCGGATTTTCGATCAGTGATGTTCAACTGTGTTCGATTAGCGCCTATTCAGCTCGGAAGCAAGCGTCTCCGAGTAGTGCACGAAAACTGTGCCTGTAAATTTTGAACACCAGTATTTTAACAATGCAAATAGCTGCATTCAGGACAGCACTCTAAAATTAAATCTGTGGTTGTTGTTATGTGAAACGAAATATTGAATGGTAATTACAATTGTGAGCTTTACAACTGAGAGAGCGGCAGCAATTGTACGGACAGCAAAAGTCTTTTCTACGCCACTGTATCCACACAAACTACACCCCCATTTGTTTACGTATCCTAATGGGTCAAACGAGGGATCATCCCAAACGATCAAGATAGTATCCACGTCGTACTGGACAGCTATTCGGGCCTTTCTGGTACGCAAATTAAATTGGGCTTGCTGTAGGAATGGTTGCATTCAAATCTAAAGTACAGCTTCCGAACCGGCTGATGTGGGTTCCGAACTTGACATACCAACTTCCAATCGGGTAACGAATTAACGCGCCAGTGCACTCAAATACTGCGGACAAACATCGCACAGAGACGGTTTCCATTAGACACGCGATTCATTCGTTCGGCTTCAATGACGACATGTTGTCTGGCAATGGACTCGTTTGCGAACTCGCATCTGCACACCTATCAGTTCCTCTCACTCTTGGAAAAGACTGACATGACGTGTGCAGTTACTTCCTATTCACTACGATTCAACTATCCACACTGATATCCCATAATGGGATATATCTGACGGTTGTTTCACCCGGAAAGCTCACTTGGTGCTACAAACCGCTTTCCAAACATCCTAGTTTTCCGAACAAAGAAACTTTATCTACATTATCTCAGTATGGTCATAAAACAATACGGAGCAGCGAATACCGGCATGAAAAGGACCATAAGTTGGACATATCAATCAGGCATGGCTCAATGGAAACCGGTCCCGTGTCACTCCCTTGCGCTAGACATCAGATATCGCTTCGACCCCGTACGTACGTATGTGCGCACATATTTTGAGAACCCTGTGAACACTCACACGTCTCTACGCGCTGCCAGTGACGTGCTATATATATACTACGTGCTTTATATACGTAAAATATAGGCCAGCAATGTGATCAAAACATGTCATTTTTTCTAGACAGTTGGGAAAATGTACATGCATATGTCGAATAACATTACGACATCACACACGCTGATATCCTTGGTGGCTGCTTCGGCAATGCGTTCAAGGAACTGCAGCCTCCATTCCATCTGCGTCATGAGTTTCTGGGGATCCGCGGCCAGAAGTTTCTCTTAGTGCACTCTCATCTCATTCTTCACTCTGGCTTTCACCACCTGCCAAACATTCTCGATGGGATTGAGGAAGGGAGTACGGGATCAATCTCAGTATGGTTACTCCCTCGTCTCCACCTACTGACGACAGTTCTTCCAGTCGTGTGTGACATGGTGCATTATCACATACCACGACAACCTGCCGCAGCTCCATCTCCCGTTTCAGTTGTCTAAATAGCTTCGCAACCATTCGAGAGATAGGGGACCTGTGAATGAGCCTCTCCGGGTGGTCATCGACACTTTCCCTTCCATTGTGAACGCACCGATCAAATGCAGCTTGAGGCCTCTACTGTTGGCAATTTTGAAACAGGCCCTCACTCCGCTGGGCGCCCGACCACGAGTACGTTTGCAGTAAACGTTGAACTTCGCTTCGTCAATCCAAATGAAGAACTTGCCATCGCTCTCAAGTTGGAGAAACTACTAAACGTATTCCCTGCGTATCCATTTGGTTCGCTCATTGTTCATTCCCTCTGGAACCTGAAAGATGTTCTTCATAGTTGTCAATCGATCATTAAGGTGCCGTGCGACTACTGACTTCCAAATGTCCTTGTTCATTTCTGCTCGTACTCGCACTCCCATTTCCCGTACCATAAGAGTTGAGTCCCTTGCGATTCTCCGACAGATTCCGCTTACGATCGCGCGCCTGCGTAGTACTCGGTTCCTGATCAAAAGATCGACGAATCCAGGAGTAGGCCGCTTGATATTTGACGTTGTTCACAGTTGCGATCACATTGACTTATCGTCACCTTAATACTGAACGACAATGCATATTTTGTTTGATTTCTTTAGAATCTAATCTCACGAGCATGCGTGGCGACCACTACCAACATGAGGATCATACTCTAACACCATGTAAATGGTTGCTGTGCAGAAGGCAGGTTCGACCGGAGAGAATCAAAAACTATCTTATAAGCTCAAAGTCTGGGGGAACGTAAAGACAGCTGGTGTAGGACTTGGCCAACCATTGTGCGATCGACCGCCATTCGTCTTTTACTGAGAACTAGGAGAAAGTTTGGTGATTCATCCTCAGACCATTACAATCAATATATATGACTAAAAAAGAGTAACATCGACCCAGTTAGTACAATTAACATGGACGCAAAATCAAAACGGGTTAATTACATGTTACGGAGTTTGACCTCAGGCCGTTGACTTCAGTATCCTCCGTTTTAATGAGCCAGGCAAACTGAAGTGATGAAACTAGCTTCTTTTGCGAGCATAAGGATGGTTATAACGATCGAATGCAAAGTGCTTCGGCCGTCACAAGTGTACGAAGACGTTGCGATTTCGATCGGTGCGGCGGAGCTCTGTATACTACTCTAAATGCACTCTTTAGCTCCACCGGACGCCCATTGCTGACAATGTGAGCCAAAATGGAGCTGCTAATGACCCCAACACTACCTTGATGCAACCGACGTGGGCACTGTTCACTCACGCGTTTGGAAAAGTGCCGCGCCGTTCGGCCGAGATACGTTGCGCCACAAGTTCACTCAAACTGATCAGTAATCATTAAGACGGTCAGCATGGCCCACCTAAACTTCTTTCGTGAACGGACCAGCGCAGCCGCTGCGAAGGTCGACTTAATTGCGCCCTAAGAACTTTGAGTTAGACGCTCAGTAATTGCGTTTCCTTTGAAAGGTAGTCGTGTGAATAGCTCTTGCGTTTCCGCGGTTAACCCTGAGGTCTGTTTAGGCTTTTCCTCAAAGTTTCTTAAAATTACTCTGTCGGGGTATCCATTTTTTTGCGCAATATATTCTGTATAAACGAGAGTTCCGCGTCTAGAGTGTCTTCCGAATAGATTCGACGTGTTGTCGAGGTAACAGTGAATCAAGTTGCGCTTATATCTCAGAGGGAGGGAGCTGTGAAAGTGCGTATATTGGCCAGTCCATCTTGTCTTTCTGTAGATCAGCCGCTGAATGGAGCCTTCTGGTCTCCTATTTAACAGAACATTAATATACAGTGGCTGCTTTTCGGTTGTTTTCATTAGGTCAAATGCAGTATTGCATAGGCTCGGTTAAAAGGGTTAAGCATTTTATCTAGGTTAAAATGTTCGTCCATCACAACAAACATATCGTCCATGTGGGGAAAATAGCGTTTAAAAGTGATTATCTCCGTCTGCATTTCGGTTTTCTCTACGGTGTCCTATCAGATAGCTTTCCGACCACATGTGGTGTTCGTCAGGGTTGTCCGATTTCCCCATTTTTGTTCACTTTCGTCGTGGATTCTATCATGGAGTGTTTCCTTGCGGAATCTCACAATGTAAACGCTGAAGTGCTGCCTGGTGTAAGGTTAGTTGATATAGATTATGCGGAGGATATCGTCTTGCTTTTCGACGAAGTTGCGGCGGCACAACCAACCCTGAATAGCCTGTCCAGTGTGGTCCCATTATTTGGTATGCACTTCGCACCTTCAAAGTGCAAATTGTTGCTGCAAGACCACCAGCCACTTCATGACCCCTTGACGCTTGCAAACGAGGAACACGACGTGGTTGTCATTTCACTTATCTTGGCAGCTGCGTCAGCAATGATGGGCTCATAGAAACTCACGTCAGCTCCCGCATTGCAAAAACCAGAGCTACCTTCTTGAACCTGCGGCATCTTTGGTGACAGAAGGGATTTTCGCTCCGTTTGAAAGGCCGTGTATACAAGACCATAGTGTGGGCCGTTCTGCTCTATGGTGGTGAGACTTAGCCCCTCCGGTCGGACGATTTGAGGCGTCTTCAAGTCTTTGATCATCTTTGTCTGCGAAGCATTGCTGGAGTCGGATGGCACCAGCGTGTCCGCAAAGATGATGTGCGTAGGAGAGTACTAGGTGGTGATAATCATGCTAGCACCCTAGAACAACAGATAGCACTGAATAAGTTGCGTTGGCTCGGGCAAGTGCTACGTATGCCTGGCCACCGCTTACCTAGGAGGGCCTTGTTTAGTCTGCCAGGTGTAGGTTGGCGTAAGGCTGGAGATGAACAGAAGTTGACTTGGAAGTGGGAAATGAAGTCACTGGCGACCAAACTGGGTGCCGTTGGTTCGTCTCGCCTTCCGGGCTGGAGTCGACGTGACTCGCCTTGTGCATGGCTCGAGACTTTATAGGACATGTCTTGCAGTAGACACCAGTGGCGGGTCTGCTGCCGTCTCCGAATAGGATTGTCTGTTTGAAGTGTGTTTGGTGCTGAGTTATCTGCGGGGTAATGGCTGATTATGACGCGTGGCAGTGAAAGCCGCAAAGAAGCTGTCTCGCCGATGCCGACTTATATTTGCACGAAAGCCAGCTGTTTGTGACAGTATGTTTTTACACATGGTGTAGCCGCCTTGACCCTAAATATTTGTGTGGGGCATTAAAGTTGTCAGCTTAGTTCCCTTCTCTCCCTATTTCTATTCTTTAATTAACAGGTCCTCATGCTTGCATGGAAGTGAAGCATAAGTTCAAAATGCTGATGTACCGCTGCTGCTGCCGCTGTTGCCGCTGCTGCTGCTGCTGTTGCTGCTGTTGCTGCTGCTGCTGTTGTTGTTGCTGTTGATGTTGAGCTGGTGCTGCTGCTGCTGCTGATGATGATGATTGATGATAATGATGATGATGATGATGATGAGGAGGAGGAGGAGGAGGAGGAGGAGGAGGATGAGGATGATGAGGATGATGATGATGATTTGGAGGATGATGATGATGATGATGAGGATGATGATGATGTTGTTGCTGATGATGATGATGATGATGCTGATGATGATGATGATGATGATGATGATGATGATGATGATGATTTGGATGATGATGATGATGATTTGGATGATGATTTGGATGATGATGATGATGATGATGATGATGATGATGATGATGAGGATGATGATGATGATGATGATGATGATGATGATGATGATGATGATGATGATATTGATGAGGATATTGATGAGGATGATGATGATGTTGTTGCTGATGACGATGATGATGAGGATGACGATGCTGATGCTGCTGCTGCTGCTGCTGCTGATGATGATGATGATGATGATGATGATGATGATGATGATGATGATGATGATCATGATGATGATGATTTGGATGATGATGATGATGATTTGGATGATGATGATGATGATTTGGATGATGATGATGATGATGATTTGGATGATGATGATGATGATTTGGATGATGATGATGATGATGAGGATGATGATGGTGATATTGATGAGGATGAGGATGAGGATGATGATGCTGGTGATTATGTAGTCCTTAAATCGCTTTTCAAGCGCATTAACCCAGAATACCATACCTGCATTTGTGCTTTGATGTTTCTTGCTGGCGGATTTGCTATGAGTTTCTCGAGTGATAGTAAATGTGCGGTATTAGGCTGCTTTTGAGATAGTTGACTTTGGAAATGTTGCCGCTTATTCGTAAAAGCTTTGTTGCGTGAATATATCTGGTCTACCTCTACATTTTGACCCTGAAGGCTCGTGTACAAAATGTTCAGATGCGTTTTACATGAACCGGAAATCCAGACTCAACCAGTTAACCAGGATCAGATATGTCTGACATCTATAGTCCCTTATTTCTCTTGCATTATCCATTTTCTTTTCTAAGCGAGTGGAAACGATGAGGTGCAGTCTCTTACACCATTGTAATGCACAGGATCTTCGTATTGACCCTAGACGTCAAGTAAAACTGCTGCAAATGACGATGAAACAGGGCTTTGGAACGAAGGTACTTGATAGCCTTTATCACTGGCCTCATAACAAGAGCATACCTAGGATATCTGGCACAAATACCTTGTCGATGAATGATGTAGTGGTTTGTAATGGCTTTGCCTGCTTTTCGCTAAATTAGTTACAGATAAGTATTACTAATCCAAGGTGCTCGTCACTCATGACTGGGACATCGTCAGTAATAACTATAGATTGTTTCCATGAGAGTTAATGTCATTGATTGCAGAAGAAACAGAAGCAAGTTAGTCTATGCCTCTTGTTTGGTCCTTAAGACCCAGCAGCTCAGATAATCCATCTCGCACACACATTTCATCGTTAACTTTCTTCAAAACGATGAGAACGTGGGCAGTGCCATGCATCATTACTTTCATCATAGGCTACCAGAAAGTGTCAGTTTCTTCCTTTTGCTTCTAATTGTTTCATAGTATCAAACGAGATGTTTTCAATGCCGCTAAGTACAGGGTTGCGGGCCAGGCAACCACTGGTAAACTCTTCCTTTTTTCAAGACAGATATTTGCCAAAGTTTCATTACCTGTTCTTTGACTGATTCGCCTTTAGTAAATGGTTTAGTGTTTCCCCATTAGTTTTTCCACCTCATAACTTGCCTTTATCGCATTCTAATTCTTCGACTGACCGATGCTTGTTAACTGGCTTTGCTGTGAGGTAATTCTAGCTTCCAATTGCTTCACTTTCCCTACTCGTTCATTTTCAGTCAACTTGTCATAGTTAACATGCTTCGTTTGGTAGTGCCTCTTGGGGGTGAATTCCTTGCAAACAGCCACACTCTCCAAACCACTCAAGAATGCACGGTAATTCACTCGTTCAGGGCTGGCTAGCATTTGTTAGTCATATACAAAAAATTAAACAATCCATGTTGTTGCTTTTTGAGTTAGTTAATACCCCTGGTTGGTCACAAATAAACAATACTACCTTAGTGATTCATGTAAGCATATATAAGGACAGTGAATTTTATGCTTACAAGGTCCTTATTTTTTCTAATGTATATAATGTTGCGTGTAAGGAACAGACCCAAGTTTGATTTAATTTTTTCATGATGTGGCCATGAGCCAGTAGAAATAGCGCTGACCTCATTTGGCGCGCGGGCTGGACGTTAACCATTTCAAACACAACGATAAAGCAAGAAGACTACCATTTGCAGACTGGCAGTTTATGGACAAAGAAAGCGTTTACAAATCTGTCAAATGAATAAAACGTACATAATTTTATTACATTTCGAAACGTGCTGAGGCTTCATCGCCCACAATACATGCATAAAACAGCCCCTATAAAACAAACATTTGTGAAACGGGTGATGGCTTATATGCTCATTAGCCACACAGGCACAAAGCCAGTTGAAGCATGGAAGTGCGGGTGAGACCGCATGGAAGCAGGTCCCTTGGGAACGGTTCCATTGATGACCGTATTACTTTAATAGAACTTTTGGCTAATGCTGCATTTTTGTATAATCTGCCTCGACGGGGATTCGAACCACGGACATACGGAGTACCGGTCCGCTGCGATACCATTTGTATTGTTCTCATTTTCTTAACCACTCTGATACCTACAAACTGCCAATCAGTTCAAAATCGCCCTTTGGATTCATTATGCAAAACACCAATGCTTAACGATTTTATGCGAGCTCGTTTTACAGATTTACAAAACCATTCAGTTGGATGTGCCTCGCAGTGTCGAGGAATAAACCGGTTATTGATTTAGTTATTTGTTCATTTATTTTGAATCATCTGTTCTCAACAATGCTGTGTAACATATGTTGTTGTTTCAGACGCCATCTCTAAAAAGCGCATTGGCTTCGGGCAAGTTGGAAAGAACGCACTAAACTGGCGCACCTACACAGCCTCCCCGAACCACGATACCTGGGATGTCTACACAATACAAAGAGACCACTGTGTCAAACTCGTCCGGGATGACAAACTTAAGAACCAACAAGGTCTAGTGGAAAAGTTTGCTCCAATCCCAAACTGCTATACAGACAGGTAAACAATTTACGCCTTGTTAAGCGCGGTATTCCTGCCATGCACACAGCATGCGGGTTAGCCCAAACCTCACAAGAGGCGGCCAACGTTCTTGGACAACAATTTGGCGGTACTTTCCAAAGCGTGCACTCATCATACCTCCTGACTAAACAGATAACGAAGCCATCAGGGCTTAATCACATATCGTTCACCTCCGCAGCTGTACTAAAGAGTCTGATGTCTGCGCGAATTCAGCTCGCCGGGTGCGGACGGCATTTGCCCGAAGGCGTTGAAAGTTGCTGCCATGAGTTTGGCGGTGCCACTAACGATTTTCTTTCAACGATGTCTTAATGAAATGCACGTCCCCACCATGCGGAAGCACGGAATCATCACGCGAATCTACAAAAGTGGAAGCTGCGCTGAACCAGTAAATTATCGCCCGATAACACTTCTTCCTGTGATCCCCAAGCTTATGGAGTCCATTGTCGCCAAGGCTTTGATGTAGTACCTGGAGAACAACAAAATTCTTGTTTCGGAGCAGCACGGATTTCGCCAAAATGACTCCTGTACCACTAATCTATTCATTGCTCGTGCAAGCTGGACGGAATCTGTGAACGCTGGTGTAGGACTCGACGAGACCTACTTGGATTTCTCAAAGGCATTCTACCGTCTGAACCATCGAATTCTACTCCACAAACTCCAGAAATATGGAACCGGCGATCCTGTTCTGGGCTGGATAGGAGACTTCCTCGTGCAACGTCACCTGAATGTGTGGGTTAGAAGCAACCTATCGGAATATATTGAAGTTCAGTGCGGCGTACCTCAGGGCTCGGTACTTGGACTCGCCTGTTCCTGGTTTTCATAAATGCTCACGCGAGCGTGTCAGCTTCTAACTGTTTGCTATTTGCTGATGATCTATATGCATGGCGTATTATAACTGCAGTGGATTATCACACAGCTTTACAAGAGGACCTGGACAAAGCGTACACATGGTCCTTCGCGAACATTTGGCATTTCAACGTAACCAAGTGCAGAGTTCTCAGCATAAGGCACAAGAGTATGCACAAGTACAGCCTAGGACCACAAATTCTACAGCGGGCTTCTCACGAGTGCGATCTCGGCGTACTAGTTCAATATGACCTCGGCTGTTTGAGGCAGACTGAAAAGGCAGCTAAGAAAGCAAACCAGTACCTCGGCCTTCTTCGCAGAGCTTTCGGGAAGCTTTACTCTTCAGTCTTTCCAAAAACGCTTAGTACTACGTGAGGCCGCAAGCGGAATACGCTATTCAAGCGTGGCAACCCTGGCGCAAGCACCATCTCACCGCGCTCCATACTGCACACGTAGGACAACGACCAGCGCCAGTTTGTTGACCAACCTCCCTAAGCAGTCAGGCTGAAGATTCTCAAAATTTACAGTGGACGTTATCCGCGTCTAAGGGGCGATCTCATAATGGTGTAGCAGGTCCCGTGAAACCCCAACAACCCATGCCGTTCCATTCTGATACTCAGTCAAAACCCCCCGCTAAAAGGTCATATGTTCAAACTGCTCACGCCCGACCTGACGATCCCATTATACTTTGGTCTATCTATTTTCACTCTAACCACTCCCCGGGACGTGTCAAGCACCTTCTATTTTACCCGTTATAAATCATGTTTCAATGTTCAGCATTTCATCGGGTACGGTAGAAATCCCCACCACCACCTTCCGCGCCAACTTCAGAAGACCTTTGAAAATATTATCCTTCTGCATTTTGATAGTCCGAAGCCAGATATCTTACTGGCATATGTGTTAAACAATAAACAATTACTTTATACTGGATAGGAAGCACTGATTTACAAGCCTGTGGGGTGATCTGATGTGGGTATCATTAAACATTAATGAAAATGGGCATTTAGTATTTTGACTGTCAAAAGAATGGACTACTCATTTTCATTGCAATAGCTCTGCATTCCACGTAGTTTCGCAGCTCCAACGAGCGACAAATACTTAATCCAAGTTGGTTCTCGGTGGTGGGAGAGGTAGGGCAAAGTAACTGGGTAGGTGCGTCATCCAATCGACTTTTATCTATGACCAGTGTAGGTGCGGAAACCACTGATTTTGGAGAGAGAGTTATAGGGGTTGCATACACAAATAGAAATGCAACTTTTCCGGGACTCCAAACGGTTGCACTGTTCTTCTAGTTTCAAAAAGCGACTTCTCAAGTTCGTATTACGGATGAGCTGCATTTAAGAGCAGCGCACATGATTTGGATTGTGTAAAATCATGAATGTTGTAAACAGGTCTCTTCGTAATCGGTGATGCGGTCCGCTGAATAAACGTAAACGTTTCAACCTCTGGTCGTGTGGTAAAATCAGCATTCCAGTGACGTATTTGGATGCCCGACCTTGAGGCTGCTCCAATGAGGTGAGGTCTTGGTTCAGTCGTCGCTGCCAGGCTTGAATTGCGTATTCGATATGGAGACGAGCATACCCAATGCGCATCTGTCGCAACATAGAGATTTCTGTTTAATCGAACACCAGTCGCAACAGCCCAGCACGCTAGTTACTAGATTTCGATGTCTTTCTGGATTGAATGGAGCAATCCAAGTTATTGTGAACCAACAAACCCAGCTCACGTCTGACGAAAGATGACTACAGTACTTGCTTTACTAGCCTGGCTGACTAGTTGCTCTAATGTCGTATGGAGAGTGTCCCGCATATGCTCGCGTTGCATTGCAGTAAATTTGGAACTGACCATTAAGGAACTGTGTCTAAGTCTCCCTGAGGCAGATTCTAGTCCGAATTCCCTTGGGACCTGGGCCATGTCTTCATTTTGTCAGCTAACAGTAGGAAATTTGAAACAATTGCTTGTACGAGGGCATTTATAAAAACCAAAACATCGTAGACCTTGAACGGAGCCCTGAGGCTCACCATACGAGACTTGTATGTGGTCGGATAAAGAGTTCCAACCTCAAAGCACTGAATGCGTTGAAGAAAAATGTAGGCATCCAGCTTAAGAGAGGGTCATTCATACCGCAGTGCTGGAGTATCTGATGATCTATTGAGAAGGGATCACCAAACTACGGCCCGCGTGCAAGATCCGGTACGCGGCGTTAATTCATCCGGCCCGCACACTCTACCCCAAATTACTTGATGAGACGTATGCAAAACGAATCGTTATCATAAGATTTATATTTAACACTACGTGTCGTATTGTCGATGGACTTATGGTGTCTGAATGCTAGCGCAAACCAGCCCATAGCTGTTGCATGTAAAAACCTACTACTGTGGCTTCTCACTTTCGGAACATTGATATGGGTGACTACACTTACTGGGTTCCCGTTTAGCTCTAACTATTGTACAGCAGTTTTCGGTTCATCTGCTCCCTCGATACACTTGTCATGTAAAATACAGATCACTAAGGTGCGATTAGTTTGTCAGTGTTTGTTGAAGCCAAATTTGCTGCCTATTTAGAGCAAGTTGCAAATTGTGGGCACATAATGGTGCCAAAATGGCACATTGTTTACTTACATACACATAGGTATTGTTTAGTGCATGCACATAGTACCGTAATCCAGTTAATCCCTTCCTGTCGCTTTGGCTCTGGCAGAAAGGCCCTACCCAAGCTTCTCAGGCACGTGGTTAGATCGCGCCATACACGCCAATCAACCGCCTTCCATTCCCATATATGTATAGGACACGAAAGTGTTGCGCTGTAGTGGAATGTATGCAGTGGACTGTGTACTTTTGCTGAGACACCTGAGGTGGCTCGGTC